CTGACCGTTCTCGCCCGAGTCTCTGTCGCGCACTTTCAGAAGTGCTACTACAGTACCAGTTGGCGCATCCTCGGGCACAGGACTTGACAGTGACAGGATGGTGATCTCGGGCGCGTTGTCATTCTCGTCGGTGATGTCTATCTGCACTTCGCAGTGATCGGTGAGACCACCGCCGTCCGTCGCCTCCAGACCAAATATGTATTTATTCTTCTCCTCAAAATCGAGGGGCCCCGCTGTTCTAATTTCCCCAGTCTCACTGTCGAGAGTGAACAACGCCCTGACCACGTTCGGAATGTTGCCAAAGGCGTAGGACACTCGCCCGTTGGAGCCCACGTCTGCATCCGTCGCCCATACTCGCAGAACTACTGACTCTACTGGGAGTGTCTCTGCTACTCGTGCCTCGTAGAGGCTTTTGCTGAACACGGGTGGGTTGTCGTTGGCGTCGGTAACATTTATGTGAACCTCGACAGTCCCAGACCTTGCGGGCTCCCCGCTATCCACTGCTGTCAGCACCAGTTCAATGGCGCTCTGCTTCTCCCGGTCCAATACTCTCTCCAGTATTAATTGTGGCTGCTTCTTTCCACCAGGCTTTTCCTTCATGGACAATGAGAAGGAGGGGTTGCTTGTTAATTGGTAAGTCAGCAGCGAGTTTCTTCCTGCGTCTGCATCTTGCGCCATCTCCAACGGAAAACGAGCACCAGGAAGGATCCATTCACCGATCTCGAGCTCCAGAGCAGCCTTGCTAAAGGCTGGGGAGTTGTCATTCAAGTCCTCGATCGCCACCTCTACTTGGAAAACGTTCAGCGGGTTGTGCACCAGCGCCTCGAAGCTGACAGAGCAGGTCGCCGACTCGCCGCACATCTCCTCCCGGTCCAGCCTCTCGTTCACGTACAGGTTCCCGTTCTCCTCACTCACCGTGAAGTATTGCTTCTCCTCGCTCAGGCGCAGCTTGCGCGCCGGCAGCTCGTCCGCGCTGAGCCCCAGGTCCCGCGCCAGCGGCCCCACGAGCGAGCCTCTGCCCAGCTCCTCGGGGATGGCGTAGCGGAGCCGCTCGGCCGCCGCCCGGCCCCACACGCACAGCAGCACCGCGGCCAGCAGCGCTCGCCCGCCGCCCGGCCCGCGCCTCTGCCGCCGCCTCACCGCCATTCTCTGCCGCCGGCGCTC